GAGGCGGCTGGGGTTTGGTTACGGGTATATGTATATATATACTATAAGTTAGGGTTAGGGTTAAGGATAAAATAATTAAAATAAAATAATTACGTTATTTTAAAAATTAAACTAATTACAGAATAATTATCTACAAATAAAAACGTATATGTTGTGCTATTACAACAGTTGATACGAAATAGTCAAAATATACACATATTGTACAATTAAACGAGAATAATTAATAAATAAAATATATTAACTTATATTTAAAATCAAATATTTATAGAATAATTATGTACATAGTAAAACGTACTAGTTATACTAATACGACAGTTAATACTCAATATTTAAAATAATATAATATTTTAAACAAATAATACGTAATTAATAATTCAACATAATACACGAAATAATACGTAATAGTAACAATAATATAACGTGTTATTTAAAATAATATGTAATAATACCGATAACATAACAAATTAGTTTTAAAAATTTTTACCGCTCAAAATAAATTTATAGATATTAAAATCATTTATATAAATATAAAATTTGGATTTTAAATCATAGAAAATTATAGAAAATTAAAAAAAATACAAATACTCTTCTAAAATTAATAATATAATATTTAAAAATACTAGAAAATTATTTTAACTAGTATTAAAATTTCACGATCATTATATCCTACTCCCCTTAAAACAAATTCCCTCCTTAGAATTAAAATAACATGGAAGAAATATAAAGATTGGTTCACTTTAACGCATGTAAGGTTCAAAATATATTGCATATCCATAAATAAGAAAAAGTTATACAAGGTGATTCAAATAAGATACAAGACATGACAGTTAAGATTCAGGAAATAAATGAGGGTATCGCTGTCATATCTCAGACTCAGTTTTCCAAGTCGACTCTCCAGGAGAATCTGGGTGCCACATCACACGAACAAGCGAGACGGTCTTGTTCTGGAGAGTCTTCTCCCTTCGGTCCAAAATTTCCACTAGCTGCTTCTCGTATGTCAAATCGTATCGCACCTCAATCTCTAAGAAATCTACGACATGACTCGGATCTCCAACGTATTTTCACAACTGAGAAACGTGGAATACGTTATGCACTCCAGCCAGGGCGGGCGGTAATGCAAGTCAGTACGCCACTTCTCTCACTCTCTCTAATACATCGAAAGGTCCCACATATTGTGGACTCAACTTCCCACGCCTTCCGAAGCGAATGGTACCTCGGTTGGGGGAAATCTTTAGGAACACATGATCTCCTAGCTAAAACTCCACGTGAAGGTGCTTCGCATCTGCCCAATGCTTGAATCTGTACTGTGCTATGTGTAGTCACTCCCAAATGATCCTGACTACATCAACTGATTTGTCAATCAACTCTGGCTTAAAAATCTCCCGCTCACCAACATCGTCCCAACTCAACGAAGAGCAGCACTTCCTCCCATACAATGCCGCAAACGTGGTCATCCCAATGCTTTCCTGTAAGCTATTGTTGTATGCAAACTCCACCAAATACAAGTGATCTTCCCACGACTTGTGGAAATCACGCATACAAGCTCTAAGCATATCATCCAAAATCTGAATAGTCCTCTCTGGTTGGTGGGGATGATAAGCTATGCTGAAATTAAGACTGGTCCCAGACTCGCCTACAAACTCTTCTAGAACTCTAAAGTAAATCGGGTATCACGATTCGAAACGATGCACACTGGAACTCCATGCAATTGCATGATCTCCTGCAATACAAGAGATTTACTAACACTCTTGGGAAAGGAACTCATTGAAATATATAAAGATAAATATTTAACTCTATGTATCTCTGAGTAAGATGCTCTGTCGACTGTCCCACTCAGAAAGGGATGAAGTGAGCCGATTTGGTTAATCGATCTACGATCACCCAAACAACGTCATTTTGTCTAGTGCTCCGAGGTAAGCTAGTGACCAAATCCATGGTAACATGCTGCCACTTCCACTCTGGAATAGGCAATGGCTACAAAAGACCTGCGATGCGCTGATGCTCTGCCTTCACCTGCTGACATACAAGGCACTTAGCCACACTATGAGCCACATCCCTTTTCATACCATGCCACCAAAAGTTCAGCTTCAGATCCTTATACATCTTCGTACCTCCAGAGTGAATAGAATACGGTGAACTGTGAGCTTCCTGTAATACTTCCTCTCGAATATCTCCTCCTAGTACACAGATACGACTCCCAAACCGTAAAGATCCATCCTCATGAACAACAAATTCAGATCAAAGACCGACTACTGCTATCTCCCTGCACTTCTGAAGAAATAGGTCACCTGCTTGTGCAGCCTTGATTCGCTCGACCAGTGTTGATTGAATTTGAAGATTCATCAAAGAAGCGATGACTCCTGGAAGAAGAACTTCTATACTCATATCTCTCACTTCCTACTTGATAGCCGGCAATTGGCTCAATGCATCTGGTACTACGTTGACCTTACCAGGATGGTACTGAAGGTCAATATCGTAATCTGCCATCAGCTCAAACCATCGGCGTTGCCTAATATTGAGTTCCTTTTGAGTAAATATGTATTTCATGCTCTTTTGGTCAGTGGACACCTTCACTTGCTCTCCCAATAGATAATGCCTCCAAAGCTTAAGGGCAAAAATCACAGCTGCCAACTCTAAGTTGTGGGTAGGATAATTATGCTCATGCTTCTTCAACTGACGAGAAGCATATGCCACCATATGACCATCTTGCTGAAGAATGCATCCTAATCCTCTACCTGACGTGTCGTAAAACACCTCAAAGTTCCCACTCTTATCTGGTATCGTCAAGACCGGGGCCGAGATCAGTCGAGACTTTAACTCCTCGAATGCCTGCTCACAAGCATCGGACCAGACAAACTTAATATCCTTCCTCATAAGTCGTGTCATCGACTCTACAATCTTTAAAAAATCTCTGATGAAGTGATGATAGTAACCAGCTAATCCTAGGAAGCTCTTAATATCTTACACCGACATAGGGGTAGGCCAATCCTTCACTACAGATACTTCTTTGGATCCACTGATATGCCGTCTCTTGACACCACGTGTCCTAGAAACGCTATACGATCTAGCCAGAACTTACACTTACTATACTTGGCAAATAGCCGATGCTCTCTCAAGGTCTTCAACATGTACCGCAAATACTCTGCATGCTCCACCTCACTCTTAGAGTACACCAAGATATAATCAATTATGACTTCCAAAAACTTGTCCAGCACATCATAGAATACCAGATTCATCAGGTTCATGAATGTCGCCGGTACATTAGTCACACCAAATGGCATCACTAAGAATTCATAATGTCCATATCTCATTCGAAACATAATCTTGGGGATATTAGAATCCTTAACCTTCACCTGGTGATACCCGCTTTGCAAATCCAGCTTAGAAAATACTCTCGATCCTCCCATTTGATCGAAGATATCATACAATACGGGGAAGTGGATACTTATTATTCACTGTCACCACATTCAACTCCCGGTAGTCGATGCACATCAGCTTGGATCCATCCTTCTTTCCCACAAGTAACACAGGTGCTCCTCAGGCCGATACACTGTGTCAAATCAACCCTCTCTGCAAAAGATCATCCAACTGAGTCTAAAGCTTGACCAACTCAGCCGAGGGCATACGATAAGGGGTCTTGGAGATCGGCGCAACTCCAGGCTTCAAACCATGGAAAACTCAATTGCTCGATCCGATGGCAATCCGTAAATATCATCGGGGAACACATCTTCAAATTCTCAAACTAAAACTAGCTTCTCGGATTCCGCTTGCATTGCAGCTAACGTTGCCTTCTTCGGTCTAGCTCTGTACTCTACAAGTCCGACCGATGTGCTGCCACTGGTGAACTCAAATCTCAGGTGATCCGGTATCTCAAATACTTTTCTCTGACGGTGACAATCAAATAATGGCAAAGAACGATCCCAACCAATCCATCCTAAATATTGCATCAAAGCTCGGCAAATCAATCATCAGAAAGTTTGCAATGAGTTCCCTCCCGCAGATAACCACAGGGCATGCTTCATAACCACTGGATGCTACTAAGACACCACTAACAGTGTTGATATTCCAGCCCGTAGTCAGAAGAGATATAGGAAGAGAGTGGGCACTCACGAATCGATGAGACAAGAAACAATGGGAGGCTCCAGAATCAAAGAGTGATAAATCAGGAATGGAAGAAACAAGAACCTTGCCTATTATACGAGGATGTAAATACAACTAACTTAGTACTCATAAACAATCCTATCATGATATCATTAGGTAATGCTAAATAAGGAAGTTCATATGCAAATAAAAACTAAGATGAACAATTCTTACCAGTGATAACCTGGTCGTTCGCCTCAGCCTCTATGGCTGACATCATAAACATCTGCCACTACGGTTGCTGCCCTTGTACTTCCTGATAAACCTGTCTCTACGGAAGAAGAGGCCCTGCTTGAGGATAGGGTCTGTGCTGAGCCAAAGCTGCTGGGGTAGGTTGTGGTGGAGCTGGAAGAGCTGCTCAAACTGGAGGTGGGGGTAAATGAGCCTGCTGTCGCTGCGGACAGTGCTGACTGATATGACCGGGAAATCCACAAGTATAGCATAGATGGAGACACTTGCGGCACTCCTGCTGGGTATGCCCAATGAAGTCACAATAGGAACACTTCACCGAAGACTGGCTCTGAGACTGCACTCCAGGACGCTGATAAGGAGGGTGAACCTGAGGGGGTGGCTGACATTTAGAATGCTTCTACCTCTGCGGGTTCTGCTACTACCTCCGAGGATGACGCTCGACAGTCCTAGCTAGAACTACTAGTGCACTACTCAGAATCACATGTGGGTCTTCAGGTTCCTTCTGTACGCTCTTAATCTTACGTGCTGCATCTAATATTGTATCGTGTGTCGCAAGTGCTCTACCAGGCAGAGAACACCTGATATACTTATCTAGACCCTTCTAGAACTGATGCCTCCTACTAGTAGGGTCTGTAACTAGATGGGGAGCATATCGACTCAGGGAAGAGAACTCGGCCTCATACTCATCAACTAATCGGCTTCCCTGCTTGAGCTCAACAAACCTACGCAGGAGTTCGTCCCGAGCTGATTGAGGAAAGTACTTCCTGTTGAAGAGCTCGGTGAACGTCTCCCACAGGATGGGCCTCTCCAGACGAGTCTTCTCAGCTACCCACCATATCCGAGCGATATCGGTGAGCTAAATATCCATGAGATTTACCTATTCAGCAGGGGCAATACGGTCATCGTGAGGATAGTCTCAGTGACCTTCAAGAACTCCTCTGCTGCTAAGGGTCCTTCAGCACCAGAGAAGGAAGGTGGTTGCATATACCGGAACTCCCTAACACCAGACTCTGTACCGAGGGGGAGGCTGATGCTGTGGCTCCCTGTGCAACTGTCCAGCCAGGTGGTGCTGATTCATGAGGACATAGGACCGTGACTTGCATGGGCCGCCAACAAAACCTGTCATGCCCCGTTTTCCAAAATACCCGGGAATCGGAACGTGAACAAGCCCACGATGTTTTAGATTGAGAAGAAATATACACTATCATTTTTTTTCTTTTCGTTTCTTCTCAATTTAATATGCTAAGCATCAAATACATAAATTTCAATCACGGGTCCCCGATCACAATAGCAAGAATATATAAACAATCCAGAATAGGAAATAAACATATCATCCATAGTAAATCATCCCAGACATAAAATATGGGTCAAACATACCCTTATTACAAAAAAGTCCAACTAGGAATAAAAATACATAGTCTATGATAAAAGAAAATACTGATAAAATAACTGAATCCATCATCAAACTAAGGAAATATTGTAAAAGAGTTCTAATGTTCATCAGCTACTACAGAAAAGAAAACACATCTAGGCTTCAGTTTGTTCTTCTACTCCATCGGAGGGATATTCTGTTTGGCATACACCGGCTCGACAGCATCATCAAACTGAACTTGTTCGTCTCCTAATTCTGACGCACACCAGAGAAAACAGGTGTATGTCAGCGTGCCTGGCACACGGCAAGATCTCACATGAACAAATAAAACGGTCTAACAAAACATGTTATGACAATAATTAATACTAATACGAAAGACAATGATACATGCAACTGGAAATTTAATGATAACATACAGCTATGTGAAAACGGTAACTGGGTCAAATACTAACTATCCTAAAACTCAATTTTCCTTCTCTCAAATAGGTCCAAGTTCGAATTACCGGAAGACTGACTGTTTACCATCCCCTACGCGCATCCAATCCCATGAAACAGGCAGTTAGAGGACTACACGCAATCCGATCTCGGCCCGATCCGAACTCAGGCAAAGCTTAGGTGACGAAATAGGTCACGGATGCATGTGGCAAAACAGGTCACTTGGTCCAACAAACCAACCCCAAGACGAAACAGGTCTCTGGTGCGGGCCTGGAAGTTATGTCAACAATCACATTCGATTATGCGAACTAAGACTTTCCCAACCCAACTCTTTTCGTTTTTCTCAGTCAACCATAATCTTCACCGAAACTCGGGTTCACCACCTAAACTCAGTAAACACACTCACACTCGTCACTAAGTCTGTTCATGACGCATGAGGCCACTAAGTCATGAACTACTAAGGTTCTCAACACATCAATAGATCATGAATATAGTATGGCATGTTAAACATGATTACGCAGGTTTATGAAGCAGAAATGAGACCTATAATGAACATAAAATGCATAAACAAAATACTACAGCATGAATACATACATAAGGGACTTCATCACTACTGAAATCTCCAAACTCCTCATGCAAGTTACCCGTACTTAATTATTCTATAATAAAAAATTGTAGTAAAAAGAAATCGGGAACTAATATCGTTACGCACATGAAATGTCACGCTCTACGATGATTAGTTCTACGTTTTTAATAAATAAAATATTCTTTCTATTAATAAATTCCGAAAACTATCCCTCGTCATAACTACTACAAAATAATCATTTAAAAAAATAGTTAATATATATATACATATATTTTTATTTTATTTAAATTTTTTCATAAATTCTTTACTCGTCATTCATGTCCATATGCATTAAATATATTTTAACGAAAATTAACAATTAAACTCTACACGTACATA